GGTGCAGGAGCTCATTAGCATAACGCGTTAGCATAACTCATTTGCATATGCCACACCCCCTGACATCACTGGAAGTGTGTCAGAAGGCAACACCCTCCGCTCAGGCCCCACTGGACTCTTTTGGATTGCTAGCTATTGGGGGGGGGACATGCAGATCTGTCCTCGCAGAGGAGGGAGAGCTTGTACCTGAATAAAACATTGGTCTTAAAGGGGCCACTGGACTGTTTTGGACCGAGGGGGGGGGGCTCTGCAGCTTACCTGGCTGCTTCTTGGTCTGACTGAGGGCTGCTGGGAGCAGGGGGTGGGGCTTGTTGCATGTGCCCGCCCCCTGGGCTCTTTACTGCCGGAGCTCCGCTCCTGTGCGCTCCTGCAGGAAATGACCCCTGCTTGTGAATGAAGGTAAAAAGTGGGGTCGGCTTATCTTAGCTTGACTAATTTGACTGTTTAACTAGGGAATGCCCAGTCCTCAGGCTATGGGCGAGGCCAGCCTCTGCAGGGGAGAAAAAGTTTTAAAACAGATCCCATAATATGACCAGCAGATTCAATGATTCTATGATGCTACTTCTGATTTAGAATAGCCTAGGATTATGGTCCAGGCTTTGGAAGAAAAGTTTATTAGAGGGAGAAAAGCTGCAATCCTGAGGACACTTTCCTGGGACTAAATCCCACTGACTAGTATAGGATTTACTCCCAAGTAGTCCTGCTTTGGTTTGCTCCCCTTAGCACAGAAGATTACAGCCTGAACCAAAGCTGCCTCTAAGCTGTGGAGTCTTGTGAGCAAAAAATCTACTTTGTGAGCTTCTAGCCTTAAAATTGTGAGCGAGCGATTTGGCTGCTGCATAAATTAGTTTGCCCTGGAGCCATCCTTCCTGAGCTAAGGCAAAAACGTGTGAGCCAGAGGCTAAAAAAACTGTGAGCTAGCTCACACTCACTCAGCTTAGAGGGAACACTGGTCTGAAGCCACAACAGAGATGCTGAAGGCAATAATTAGCTAGCCTTTGAGAAGCCCCCGTGTCTGTCAAAAAAGTGTGTGTTGATGTCAGGGGTCTTCCCTGGCTCAAGAATTCCCTGGCTGTGCATTTGATGGGGTCCTTCCATATGGAAAGCACACACTCCGCCATCAAGCCCCCAGGCCTTCCAGATCTCAAAAGGGTTGAATGCAGACCAAGACTGCAAAGCACAACATGGGACTGAGAGGTTTAGCACTGGCTGGCATGATCAAAAGGAAACAGTCTCTGCCCACTTACCCACCCACCCATCTACCTACATATCTGTCTGTCCGTTCCTTTCTCCATCTGTTCGTCCACCTGTCTGCCTGCCTATCCGTCCCTCCCTCCGTCCCTCCCTCCCTCCATCAATCCATCAACCCATCTCCCTCCCTCCCTCCTTCCTTCCCTCTACCTACCTATCCGCCTGTCTGTCTGTCGTCCCCCTCTCTTTCTCCCTCTGCCTACCTATCAATTATACTTGTATTTTCCCCTTCCTCAAGGAGCTCAGGGTGATATGTGAGGTTAGGCTAAGAAGAAGAGAAGAAGAGATTGGATTTATATTCTTCCCTTCACTCAGGGTCTCAGAGTGGCTTACAGCCACCTTCCCTTCCCCTTCCCACCACAGACACCCTGTGAGGTAGGTGGGGCTGCAAGAGCTCTTTCGAGAACTGCCCTTAAGAGTACAGCTCTGATCTGAGAGAACTGTGACTGACCCAAAGTCACACCAGCAGCTGCATGTGGAGGAGTGGGGAATCAAACCCGGTTCTCCCAGACTAGAGTCAGCGCTCCTAACCACTACACCAAACCGGCTCTTAGCCAAACTGGCTAAGTTGGGTTAAGCATCCTATCTTTAAGTGATATATTCAGCAGAGTCTTCCTCCATGTGACTCCATCATCTTCTTGTTGGAGCCTGGCTCATCGGCTGAATGACTTACTACCTTGATCCCAGCACCCGGGAAAACAACGAAGTATCCCTGAGTCACTGCAGCTTTTTGCCATACATGCCTGTGATCAGCTCTAATCACTTTGGTTTTCAGATGTTTTAGTGATGGCCCTTGCTTTTGGGGGGCCCATCCCATGACCTCGACATCCATTGATCCTTTGAGAGTGCCAGTGCGATGCAGTGCTTAGAGTACAGGACTAGGATCTGGGAGACCCAGGTTCGAATCTTCACTCTGCCGCAGAAGCTTGCGGAGTGACCCTGGGCCAGCCACATATTCTCAGCCTAACCTACCTCACAGGGTTGTTGTGAGGATAAAATGGAGGAGGCAGAGAATGCTGAAAGCCACTTCAGGCCCTCCATGGGGGGGGAAAAGTGGTATGGAAAGGAAGGAAGGAAGGAGAGAAAGACAGAGAGAAAGACAGAGAGAGAGAAAGGAAGGAAGGAAGGAGAGAAAAAGAGAGAGAGAGAGAGAGAGAGAGAAAGAGAGAAAGAGAGAAAGAAAGAAAGAAAGAAAGAGAGAGAGAGAGAAAGAAAGAAAGAAAGAGAGAGAGAAAGAGAGAAAGAGAGAAAGAAAGAGAGAAAGAGAGAAAGAAAGAGAGAAAGAGAGAAAGAGAGAGAGAAAGAGAGAAAGAGAAAGAGAGAGAGAGAGAGAGAGAGAGAAAGAAAGAAAGAAAGAAAGAAAGAAAGAAAAAAAGAAAGAAAGAAAGAAAGAAAGAAAGAAAGAAAGAAAGAAAGAAAGAAAGAAAGAAAGAAAGAAAGAAAATTTTGTTTCTGGGTTTACACATGTGGAAGGAAAGGTATGGAATGGGGCTGTTCCACTTTGGACACTACATGGGCAGAGTCGCAATTTCACTGTTCAACACCCCCTTCCCCCGGTAAAATACTTGCACATGAAAAATTAGCACCTGAAATGAAAACTTCTGGCCTAGCTCCTTGCCTGCTGTGCTATCTTTCCACTTCCATGGAGTTATTAATGCAGGGGAACTTTTTAAAAAATTGATTCCTTCCTTGCAGTCTTAAGTGGTGCAGTCCATTCTATCATCTCAGTGCTTGACTAGTACTCTGGTGCACGTCTATATTATTCTTGCTTGTGAAGCATGCTCATTTACCAGCCTCTTGAAAATTTCCAGAGTCCTGTGGACATCAGTCCTAGATGGAACAAACAGATTTCCCCTCTCCCACCTGGGGAAGAATTCTGCGCCTCCAGGAAATTACACTCTTATCCACAGTTGTTCTAATAAAACCCCACTGGGAGGGCGTTGGGTCCCTATCTCAAGCAGAAATCCCAATAAATCTCTTATGTTTATTGATGTCCAAACTGATATCCAGCCAATCACAACTGTATCCAAAGCCAGCGTAGTGTAGAGATTGGAGAGCTGGATGAAGATCTGGAAGGCTGTGAATCTTACTGACTGACCTTGGGCCGGTCACTCTCTCCTTCAGACTCACCTACCTCACAGGGTTGTTGTGAAGATACAGTGGAAGAGCAGAGAAACATGTAAGCTTCCCTGAGTTCTTTGGAGGATGGATGGGATAAAATGAATGAATGAATAAATAAATAAATATGAAAGTAATGGGTTAAAATGAATTTTTTTTTAAATGTAAAAGATATGAAGAAGAAGATATTGGATTTATACCCCACCCTTCACTTGGAGTCTCAGAGCAGTTTACAATCTCCTTTCCCTTCCCCTCCCCACAACAGGCACCCCGTGAGGTGGGTGGGGCTGGGAGAGCTCTCTCCAGTACTGCCCTTGAGAGAACTTGTGACTGACCCAAGGTCACACCAGCAGCTGCGTGTGGAGGAGTGGGGAATCAAACCCGGTTCTCCCAGATTAGAGTCCGCACACTTAACCAGTTCTGCTGTGTATTGTGTTGGCTTAGGGGCAAGCCACTGTTTTTCAGATGACTCTCCATCTTATTATTAATAATAATGTATTTTATTCACAAGTAAAAATGCCATAAAATCCATAAAAATCATCGGCACCAAACAAAAACACACACACACATCACAGGGGTGTGTAAAGTCAAGGGATGCCATAAAGACTGCGAGGAACTTCACAGGTCAAAAAAATGCTGTGTAAATATTAATCAGAAAGACAACACATACCTGAATCATTAGGCATCTGGAGCCGGAGGGAAAGTCATATTATTTCAACAGAAGTTTCCTCTCTGTCACACACACACACATCCCTAATTCCCTAGCAAATTTCCTCCAAGCTTAGTCTCGCTGATTATTCATGCAATCAGTTCTAATTGTCCCCAAACCCCAATCGCGTAGCTCGCCTCGCTGTGGTTGTGGCTCTCAGCATTTGCACCCCTGAGTGAAGTTTGCCATGCAGCACCTGAAAGGCAGGGTTGAAAGAAAGAAGATCTGATGCGGGTTGGTGGGTTGGTGGGTTGGTGGGTTGGTTGGGGGGGGGGGAGAGAGCTGGGAGCGCAGCTCGGAGCTGCCCACATCGCTTGTCCGGCTCTGACGCTCTCCTCCCAGCGGTCTCTAGCTCCTTGGGATAGAAGCGTGGCTCCACCTTTTGGAAGCAGACGTTCGGGTTTTTTTGGGGGGATTATTATTTTTTTGCCTCTCGGCTAGTCGCTCACTTGCAAGGCTGCACGAGGATCGACAGTCCCGACATCGCGCAGAGTTGCCCCCCTGGCTCCTTCTTCCCCCTTCTCCTTTTTTGGGGGGGGAAACAAACAACAGAAAAGCAGAGAGGAGAAAGAGGACAAGCCAGAGACGGGCTCCGTAGGGCAGAAAGAAGCGGAGACCGAAAGACTCAAGCCAAGAGCGCCCGGGGCTTTCTTGCCTCCCCGCCAAGTGAGCGCCTTAAGGAGAAGGAATTGCTGGCCACCGCCGCTGCCCAGAGGGCTACTGTTCGTTCGGGAGACTTGCGGCGTGTAAGGAGGGGAGGGGAGGGGAGACTGGGCGACGGCGATGCAGGAGGGGTCGTTTCTCTGACTGCCCGCCAGGACTCGAGCCCCGGCGAGGCGTAGCTTCGGGCGCCAAGCCGCCGGCGATGGTGCGGACAGTTGCCGCCAGCTGGAGTCGCTGAGCCGCGCGCGGTGGTGCTGAAATGGACAGCTCCTCGGTCGCCTGGCCGCTGAACGGCTCCGGCAGCCAGGAGAAGGCAGCCGGAGAGCTGGCCGGCCGGTTCTCCACGATGTGGACTGTCGCCTTGGCCGTGCTGATGGCACTGCTGATCGTGGCCACGGTAGTGGGCAACGCGCTGGTCATGCTGGCTTTCGTGGTGGACTCCAGCCTGCGGACTCAGAACAACTACTTCCTCCTCAACCTGGCCATCTCAGATTTCCTAGTAGGTAAAGTACCCCACCTCGGCTTCACCTCTCTTCTTCTTCCACTCGGGAGATGCTCTCATGGACTTTAATGTGGGTCAAAGCCAAACAAAAAAAACCCCACCCCAGGTAGATCCAGGTACCCCAGGTAGACCCCCAGGTACCCCAGGTAGACCTCCACCCCAGGTAGATCCAGAGCCTGTGAGTCTGTCTGTAGCGGTAGAAAAGAGCAAGAGCCCAGTAGCACCTTAAAGACTTACAAAATGTGTGGCAGGGTACGAGCTTTTGTGAGTCATTACTCACCTCTTTAGATGCAGCTAGAATGTGCTCCAAAAATAACCCCCCCCCAAAAAAAAACAGGGATGGAAGCAAGCTCAACAGGGCTATCCCGGAGAAGGGAATTCAGCACGGTTCTGTCAATGACTTCTGAAGAGGAATTAGAGGGAAATAGGGGGCAGACTATCCAGTCTCTCCCCCCACCACCACACCCCCTAGGAGACAACTGAAATGATCCCCCCTCCCCTCCATTGTGCTTAGGAAAGCGGCTTCTGCTGCTGGCTATCAGAGTCAGGAAAAAATGGACTTTAAGCAAGAGGGGAAGAAAGGTTGTTGTCCCAAAGAGGGTTGGTCGGGTGGGGGTCTGTATCTGCCGTGGCTATCAAAACTCGGTTTATATAACTGGGCATTCACTTTCCACCCTGCTACCATGGCATGGAGGGTGGAACCCACTTGTAAGTCCATTTCAGGACTGGGTTCCGGCTTTACTGTTCGCAGTTTCAGAACAAAAGACTAAAAAGTAATTTAGGAATAATCCCAGCTGGCATTCAAAAGGCTCCGTCCCAAATAAGGAATACAGCCTGAACTGGCTCCAGTTCAGGAAGTTCCGATGAACTGTTGCAAGCCAGCCTTCCCTTCCCCAGAATGTGTGTGTGCACTTGCTTGTGTATACAAACACACATGCAGAATAGATTGGAGTCTAGTAACGCCTTCCATTCCAACATGATTTTTTTTGGGGGGGCATAAGTTTTTGAGAGTCAATGGTCCCTTTGTCAGATAAGGGAGAGCTTTGACTCTTGAAAGGTCACTTCCCCCCCCCCACCATTCTGTGGGTCTCTAAGGTGCTGCTGGATTCGAATCCAGTTGCTCTACTGCAGATCGAAGCAGCAATGCTCTGAACTGTATGAGTACCTACTGATAGGTACAGATGGGTTTCTGCCTTAGTCCTCTTTTAAACTTGACAAGTAATTACCCCCAAGTATATGATTCCCCCCCCTGCCCACACACAAATCTTTCTCCCATCGAGACACTCAAGGCAACTAACAATAACCTAAAGCAATAATATGTACCGGGAAGGGGTTAAACTGCTTCTGCGGGGATCAGAGATGTAGACCGAGGTTGCAGGACTTCCCTCTTTTCTGCATTCATTCCTGTAATGAAGAGTAGTTCCCCACACTATGGAAGGATATCGGTGGGGGGAGAAACTGGATCGGAGAGACGTGCATCAAAGGGCATGCATCTTCCCAAACCGGCTCCCTTTTGCTTCCCTAGGTGGCTCGTTTCCATTAAATCTATCAAACTCCGAGTGTGAGAATTAGCTTCAATGTGCTTCTCTGTGCTTCTTCATTCTAACTGAGGCATGGTGGCAGAATACATCTGTGGTCCTTGGCTCCCATGTGTTTTGTGGGGAGGGGGAGGTATGACCAGGAGCACCCCTGCTGTTTTTCTGTCCGATGTCCCTCCCAACAAAAAAGAACTCTGTCCTCTTCCCTCCTTCCCGTTTAGACTCTTAGGATGTTCCCATGGCGTACAAGGTAATGCCAGCCCTTTCAAACAGTAGGAGATCCCGTGAGGAGTGACCATTTACTAAATGGCTGTCAATTCATTGTCGCCGGCACTCTCATAATAGTAGACCCACATCCAATGTTCCCTCTAAGCAGTGGAGTCTTGTGAGCAAAAATTCTACTTTGTGAGCTGCCGGCATTTAAGTTGTGAGCAAGCGATTTGGCTGCTGCATAAATTAGTTTGCTCCGGAGCCATCCTTCCTGAGCTAAGGCAAAAATGTGTGAGCTGGGGGCTAAAAAAACGGTGAGCTAGCTCACACTAACGCAGCTTAGAGGGAACACTGCCCACATCTGAAATGGTGTAATGAAAGGAGAAAATCTTAGCAGGGATTTTTGTTTGGGACAAGTGGGATGTCAACTTTGGGTTCATGCCAGAGGGGAGAAGAAATCCTATGGGAATCTGATGGAAGTGAACATTCTAGAAACAATGCGGCCGATGAGTGATGGAAGTGGGTGGACATTCACAACCGCCATCCTAATATCGTGGCTCACTCTTGAGGTGACTTCCAGTGTTAGTATCCGGACAGAGCGTGGACGATCTCGCCTCCTTTGCTCTTGCCAGCAAAGGCTGAAATCTTTTCCCACTGATTCAAGATTTCCACTGATTCCCCATCGCCCGGTAGCTTTCAAGAAGCCAACATTTCACCTCAGGATAGCGAAACCCCCAAAAAGTGAGCCTTCCTGCGCCATAAGGCAGAGTTCCACATGGCAGGACTCAAGTCCCTGAACACAAAGCCTCTGAAACACAGATTGATGGCCATGCCAGGCAGCCTAGGGGAACGGGGATTACACAAAGTGGTTGTCAGTGCAGATTTCCCCACCGATGCCAAACTAGATGGATGACATGCCAAGGTGGATTAAAGGCTAATGGGAAAGGGGAAACGAGGCGGACTAGCTCCTTGCCAAGTCGTTTAGGAGCGTAATAATAATAAAAAAACCACCCTGAGATGATCCCGCAGGAATAATAAAGCTTAAGGAAAGAATCGCTTTATATCACATTGAAGAATGCTGTCAGCAAAGGGGGGAGAACGCAAGATCAGGAAGCCAAATTCTGTTTTTGTGCAGATTGGTAACACCGCTTGCCGTGCAATGCTAAACAGAGTCCCTGCTTTCAAAGTCGATAGGTTTTGAAGGCTGTAACGGCTTAGGGTTGGGCTGCCAGAGGGGTTGGATCCAGCCATTTTTTTTTCACTCAGTCCCGTTCCCCTCCTTAGTACACACACACCCATCCCACACGGCTTCTGTCTGGGTAGGTCCCATGATCCACAGCATGACCTTTTTTGGTGGTCCGAGGGGACCCGCCTTCCTTATTCCCTGGGGGGAAACTTGTTTAGATCCAACCCCCGGTCTCCAAGCAGGGGGGCTGTTTTCCTGGATTCCCAGGCCTTTGAACAGCATGAGATAATCCCCGAGAGGCCTGCATTCTTCAGAGCTCTGAAGCATTTTGCATTCCGTGGGTCTTCCTGAGAGCCAGATACGGGTATCGCTAAATCACATCCTCTTATTTCCCACACGGCTCGGCAAACATGTACTGCGTAATGCAGTGCTTAGAGAGCGGTTAAAAAACAAGGCATGGGTCTTTGTTGCTGCAGTCCCTGTGGCACAGGCGGGCTACCCAGAGAGCCGGCGTGGTGTAGTGGTTAGAGTGTCAGGCTAGGATCTAGGAGACCCAGGTTCGAATCCCTGCTCAGCCACAGAAGCTTGCTGCGTGACCTTGGGACAGTCACATGCTCTCAGCCCAAACTAACACTAGCCTAACCTCAGCCTAAGAGAACCCGCTTGGTGTGGTGGTTAAGAGTGGTGGACTCTAATCTGGAGGTCTGGGTTCGATTCCCCACTCCTCCACATGAGGCCTGCTGGGTGACCTTGGGCCAATCTCAGTTCTCTCAGAGCTCTCTCAGCCCCACCTACCTCACAGGGTGTCTATTGTGGGGAGGGGAAGGGAAAGGTGATTGTAAGCCACTCTGAGACTCCTTCAGGTAGTGAAGGGCAGGGTATAAATCCAATCTCTTCTTTTTCTCCTCCTCGTCCTCCCCTTCTTCTCCTTCTTCCCCCATACCTCCTCCCCTTCTTCTCCTTCTTCCCCCATACCCCATACCTGAGAGTCCAAATCTCTGCTCTGCCACAGAAGTTCATTGGGTGACCTTGGGCCACTCACACTCTCTCAGCCTTACCTACCTCACAGGGTCGTTTGGAGGATAACATGGAGGTGAGGAGAACTCTGTAATCCACTTTGAGTCCCCAATGGGGAGACAGGCAGAGGAGGAATGAAGCCAGTAAATAAACAATTAATCCTCCACACCCACGGAATTGAACAGGATTCCAGGAATGGTACCCATTTCCAGCTACATGGTGTAGGGTTTGTGTGAGCCTGACGGTGCAATTCTGTGCAGAGTTATTCCGACCTAGGCCAGTTGACTCTAATGGGTATCGACTGGAGTATTTCTCCATAGGGTCGCCTTGGAAGACGCTCCCCAGAGTCCAGAGCTCTTTTCTTGAATACCAGTTTGGTGTTGTGGTTAGGAGTGCGAACTCTAATCTGGGAGAACCGGGTTTGATCCCCCACTCCTCCACTTGCAGCTGCTGGATGACCTTGGGCAAGCCACAGTTCTGGCAGAGCTGTTCTTGAAAAAGGGCAGTTTCTGTAGGAGCTCTCTCAGCCCCGCCTACCTCCCAGGGTGCCTGTTGTGGGGAGGGGATGGGAAAGGGGATTGTCAGCGGCTCGGAGACTCCTTTGGGTAGTGAAGGGCGGGGTATAAATCCAATCTCCTCCTCCTCCTCCTCCTCCTCCTTCCAAAGAGCAATGTATTTTAAGAACATTTCTTATGATTTTAAAAAAAGACAGCAACTTCACAATAACTATAGCAACAGGCGACTCTCTTGTTTTTTTTTTTTAAAAAGCAAAGTTATTTGCACTTTCGGCTTGTCTGCGCGGCACAGAGAGCCAGTTTGGTGTAGTGGTTAAGTGTGCGGACTCTAATCTGGGAGAACCGGGTTTGATTCCCCACTCCTCCACTTGCACCTGCTGATATGACCTTGGGTCTGTCGCAAGCTCTGGCACAGCTGTCCTTGAAAAAGAGCAGTTTGTGTCAGAGTTCTCTCAGCCCCACCCACCTCACAGGGTGTCTGTTGTGGGGAGGGGAAGGGAAAGGAGTTTGTAAGCCGCTCTGAGACACCTTTGGG